GTTATATAATGAGTAGTCAGTAGATTCTATACTCCTCCTAGACCTCCTGACTTTATATGAGAATTTATATCTGCTGTACTTAATTGTATGGATGATAGTGGCTAAAACATCATTCATGAAAGATGATGAAAGATACCAAACTAAATTCTCATAGGGCATCAAAGGTGATAAAAAGTACATTAAGGTGTAAGAGATGTTAGTGATTGACAGGAAGTATACATTTTAGACTAATAATATTGACAAGTTTGAGGAGTTTATATTTATACTTAAGATATAATAAACACTGGCATCCAGCACATACTGCAAAGCAAGTATGGTTAGAAGTCTAGAGATGTTTTGACTAGTGATGTCAATGTGGTGAAAGGTAGCTAGTGAAAATGGACTCTGATACATGATTAAAAAGAACACCATAGAAGAGCTAATAATCCATAGGGGAAGAAGATTTTTGAGGAAGAACAGATCGAATGGATATATCACAAAACTAAAGCAGGACAAAATTTTAGATATTATTTAGCTCTATGCTTCTTACAATGCAGTTAAGAACTGTGTATTCTTAAGGATACAAAGCTAGAAATTTGGATAACCAGATTAGAAACTATATTTTTTCCCCTAAATCCAGATCTTTTTCTACTCACTTGAATATTACGAAATTTTAAACCATAGCAATAAAATTATTAATCACTTCAAGTTTTCTTTGGTAGTAAGTCCATTGTATAGTCTTATAATTTTGGTTATAAGTTAGGTATTTAGAAAATGGAAATGATGAAAATTGAAATTACAGTGCTAAAACATGACAACTCTGAAGATAGTAATACAGATAACTATTTTAACAAGTCTAGAAGAGTTGTATCATGTTGAGTAGCCCATGGTTAGAAACAGATATAGTTCCTATAACAAGTGTCACGGAACAAAAGAATAATGGTAACATTTTTTTTTTTTTGGGTTTGGAAGAACAATCATTTTTCACATTCACATAAAAACAATTTCTATTGTAGTAGTCATTTATCTTCATGCCTGTTTTGTATGTATTTATTCACAGTGACTCATTAAAGTCTGATATTATATAGAACTCCTTGGCTATGTTGTAATTTTACCATCTGGGATACATCAGTCGCAAATATGTATACATTATAATAAAAATTGATGATTCACAATAATTCATATTGGCTAGATTCCATTTTAAAGACCCTTGTTCTGTTGAACAATAAAACTATGCAATATTTCTATAGAAGAATTGATATAATTTTTTAAAACTCTGCCATAATATTTTAAAATAACATTCAGGAAATACAGAAATCTTTGGAGAATTATATAAAATTCATATGGACTTTTCTTATTTTTTTTAGCTCATGAATTTCTCTTTTAGCTCATGAATTTCTTTTTTAATTCTATAAATGACTATAATATTTGTACTATTTTATGTGGCTTAGAAGTGTTTAGGGGGGTTCTGTAGATATTGGTGGTCTCTTAAATTTTACAAGTAATGCTTTGTAATATATTGCTATAAATAAAAATTTGTTCACTAATTCATTTCCCATCTGTTAGGATATTTAGCTAGTTATGAATGTTCAAAGAAATATAGGTGAAATGGAACAAAATTAGGGCAACGATATGGAAAATTACTGCATGGCAAACACTATTTGGGCATTTGTAGATCAAAACACAAACAGTGTTTCCATCATCAACTTATTTATTATTGAGATACAGAAATAATGTCCCTGCCCTCAGAGAGCTTACTGTCTAATTTCCAAGTACTGGAAATTCTAAGTACTGGCAGTGTTCAGCACTATGATATGAGGCAGAATGTTGTAAGTACTGAAAATTAAAAGAACTTAAAGGTGAAATTGTTTTCGGTTGGCTATATCCAGGCAGACTTCTTGAAAGATGTGATATTTGAGGTGGACCATTGAAGTAGGCAATTTGTGTGTTATGAGAGAATTAGAAGGTTAACGTGGGCAAGGGCAGAACGAAGGGTAGAATGTGTTTGAGTAGTATCAAATAATTTAAATTGGTAGCTTGATATACTAATAAAAGACTAACGCCAACAACCATTTAAGGAGAACCTACTGTGTGCTAATTTTTGTGCCTTATTTTATGGAACTTTTAGAACACAAAGTATGTGTTAGTATTATTTCCACTTTCCAGATGAAAGAGATTTGCTCTAAGTCGTACAGTACTTGTTCTTAGCTCTTAATTTAGTTCTGCCAATAATAAAACTCATACAATTGACCACTACATTATAGAGTTATATTGTAGAAATTTCATGAACTGAAATGGGGAATTTATTTTCAATTATGTTGGCAATAGAAAGTGATATTTTTAAAGAGGTTTTACAGTTAATTTGATATTAGTGAACTGAAAGAATTAATGTGGGAGAGAAATTAGACTAATGACTAGTAGGCTATTGAAATTGATGGGATGAGGAAGTAGATAGCTTCAAGGTTGAATCTGAGAAAAATATGAGCCTAAGTAAGAGTAATGGAGATGAAAACCATTTTGAAGGAAAAAAAAAAAAACATTTCATCCAAGTTCTGAGTGCTTGGGGAACTTACAGGTAACAATGTCAGAATTATTTGGAATGCTGGTATGAAGGTAATGACTTGAGGTGGAGAGTTATCATTCTATGTTTTTTTTCCAAACTTAATTTTTAAATTTTCTTAGTTCTCTGGATCTGTATGTTCACTAAGTTTTGAAATAAAGTTGAATGCAGAATTGGCCAAAGCAAGTCTTATGGTTAGCATAGCTTTACATTTATCAGTATCTTTATAAAGTGTGGGCTATTTAGACATAATGTTACAGGATTTCCTTCAAAGACTCCTGCATTTCCCTGACCACATTCTTCCCTCCTAACTTACATCTTCTGTATGTGACAGTAATTTTGACAACCAACAAGATACTGTAAAAAAAAAACAATGAAAATAATGAGAATCCAGCTTGAAAAGAATAAGTATTTTTTAATCTGTATTATAAATTCTATTAGCCCGGATAAACTTTGTCAGATTTAAAATACCAAGAGGTTTAAGTTAGATGCAATTGAAAATTAGTATCACAATTTAAGTAATAATGACATTTTCCTAGTGTTAATTTATCTTATCAGTATTATCCACTATGAAACCCAACTTCCTAAGAAAATCTAAAAACCTTATCTACCATTTAAAAGTAATCTTTTAATCCCCTTAACATTTTATAATAGGCTATCATAGCGGATTTTCCTAAGCTTTCATTTTATGTAGTACCATAAACTTGGAGTGCTTTCTCCTTTATAACAGTCCGATGGCTGCAAGATGAACAAAATCCTAGATATTGAGTGACAGATAATAGTTATTCTTTCATATTTTTTGCTCTAATATTTGCATTAATAAATTCTCTTCAGTATGTTGTTTCATTGTAGAAATATTTTATAAGGACAAGTTCCATCTAGATAATATAGTTTATTAAACCCTATTTAGTTAAATTAACTCTAGAACATTATAATATGAGGAAATAAAAGGAATAAAGTTGAACATGCATCTACACACACACAAGGAGGTACTCCAAATGGGAAGTGAAATAAAATAATGTTTCACTTAAAGATGTGTAGGAACTGACTACAGAAATAGAAACTGAAACATAGTTTGACTCTGAAATCTGGACTCAACAACTTCTGTTGAGGGACTCAGAGAGTAGAGAAAAACATTGTTCATTTCAATTGCAATGCAAATTATACTATTTTTTTTCTCAGAGATTTATTAACCAGTAAAAAAAGGCAGCCAAATATTTAAAACTATTATTATAGAAAACTCATATATTTTTGTATTTTCATGTTATGTTGTTTTATTCAGTATGATAAACAGTGCTACCATGAATTTTGTTGGTCTTTATATTTGTAGGTTGGTCTCAAATTATTTTCAGTAGATATGTTCACATGAGTGCGATTAAGAGTTTAAAACTAAACCATGGTTATTGTAGTATGTTGACATTTTTTTTTTCAAGCAATTTTTAGTGGCTCTAGAAAGGCATGTAACATGAGTTTCCAAACACATGATTAATTCACTGCTTCTTTAAACAGTACTTATAGTTGGATAGTGATAGTTATTAACTTATAAATATGGCATTTGCAGTCTTTCTTTTAAAAGTAAGTTTTAATTTGTAAAACAATTTAATTTATAAAACAAGTTAATCATTAATTTTTATTTTATTAATTAGTAATTAATATACACATAACTCATTGAAAGTAAAAGTTGTGTTAAACCATGCATTTCTAACTTTTAATAGTCAAAAATTTTTGTAATGAACAAGTTCTAAGGAAAGTTTTTCCAAAGCACTTGAATGAATAATGGATAAAAGGCAAAATTACATAAAGATTCCTTTAAGTTTTTGATATTCAAATTTTCATATGGTAAAATACATTCTTGGCATTGATTTCCTTAGAATTAAGAAAATGATCATCAAGGCATGCAAAATCTCCATCTCTATTTCTTTATCTCTAACTTAGAGGCAGTAAGATCTGCCTGGTTGATAAGATCAGAGAATTTGGAACCAAATTGTGTGAATTTCAGTGTTTGGCTTTCCCATATACTATCTCTGGGAACTTATCTTTTTCAACCTCAATTTTCTCTCTAAAAGTTATCTAGCTTACTACGGTTGTTGGGAAGATCATATATAAACCGTGTGCTTAAGGCACTGGGACTAATGCCTGGGTCATAGCAAACATTTCAGTATGGCTTAGATAAAAAAATTTTGACTGTCAGATATGTGTCATGTAGTAGAATAATAGGTATTATAATTATCCTCTTCTGTTCTAACATACTTTTATTATTTTTAATTTTGGAGCATTTTAAGCCTAGAATGATTGATACTTCTTTTTGTTCTTTCATTTCTGGGTAGATCTAATCATAACATGTTAAACATTTATAGTGTTTATAGAATAGAAAGTGGACAAAGAAGGATTCAAGCAATTTTTATTGTATTTTCATTTGAATTTTCCCTCGTTATATATTTGAATCTCCATTATTTTTCAGATTTAATGCATTTGTGGAAAAGGAAATTTGGGATGCTAAGAAAATAGTAGAGTACTATAACACTGCAATGGAGGAAAATGACATGTATGCGAACAAAGTATGGGTGCAGTGTGAAGATGAAAGTTGTCTGAAATGGAGATTGTTGTCAAGTGAGGCTTCAGGAAAAGTTAACCACAATGAACCTTGGTACTGCTTCATGAACACTGATTCAAGATATAATAAGTGTTCTATTTCTGAAGAAGACTTTCCTGAAGAGTCTCAGCTTCATCAGAGTGGATTTAAGATTGTCTATTCACAACTCCCTCTTGGAAGCCTAGTTTTGGTAAAACTACAGAACTGGCCAAGGTAAGATTTTTGTTGTTTTTAAATAAATTATGATATAGTCTCACTGTGTAGTCTTCAAAACTTTCAAAAAATAAATGTTTCTCTGTTTGTCTAAGTTCTTATTTATAGACTGCTCATTTTTTTATCCTTTTAGTAGGTTTAGTTATATTTTCTGGTTTCTAAAATCGGAAATTTAGCTGATTCAAATCCTTGTTCTCCATATAAGTAATTAAAGCTGTGTATTTCTTTCTAAGCACTACTTAGCTATAGCCTAAAATTTTTGATATGTTTTGTTTTATTATCATACTGTTTGAAATATTCATTGATACTATTTGTGATTTCCTCTTTGAAATGGGTTGTTAAAAGTGTGTTTTAAATTAACAAATTTTGGAGGATTTAAAATTTCTTATTAGCTTCTACTTTGACTCTATTATAGTCAGTTTCATAAAGTCTTTTTTATGGCCCAGCATGGTCTGTTTTGGAAAGAATGCATACTTTGTATCTGTTGCCAAGTTGTTGAAAGATATTTTTTCTTTAGATTTTTGCATATTTATTATAATATATCTCAGAGTTTCCCTTTTGGGGTTGATTCAACCATTATGTAGTGTACCCTTTTAGTATACAAATTCAAGGGTTTAAAAAAAATTTTTTTTTAAAGTTACAATTTAACCTGTTTTGATGTTTTCTCATTTTGAGATTCCTTTATCACTTACAATGGATCATTTTTGGTTATCTTTGATATTTTCTGTCAATGTTTTCATGTATTTTTAATTTAAGTGTTTTCCACCTTTAATTTTTCTGAAGGTATTACTATTTGGGCTTGTTTTTCTCTTCCAGTTTAGTCTTTATTGAAAAATTAAAAAATTCTCCCCTGAGTTTTGTTTTCTCTTTTAAGATTTTCATATTTTCCAATTATCCATTTTTTAGTTTTTTTCTAATTCTAATTTATATTTTCCCCTCATGATCTGTATATTTTTTAAATTTCACTTATCTCAACTTCAAATACAACTCTGACCTCTTTTAAGGGAATGCCATCTGGTATGCTTAACTTTTTATACAAGGATGTTACTCATTTTTATCATAATTACTTAATATTTGGTTCTACTATGATTCTTGTTATATAGTCCCATGAAGTGAGTTTTTTTTTTCCTTTGAGGAAAGGAAAAGCAGTCAAATATTTTTTTTTTCAGTCTCTCTTCTCTCTGTTATTCAACTGGATCATTTCAAGTGTCCTGTCATTAAGTTCACTGATTCTTTGTCATATTCATTCTGCTATACTATCATTAAATTTACTTTTTGTTTATTTTGTTTTTAGTTCTAATATTTACATTCTGTTTTTTATATCTTCTCTTTATTTGCCAAACCTTTTACTTTTTACATTTTGTATTTTATTTAAATCTATTTTAGTTGGCTGTTTCTGCTGTCCCACTAGGATTTGAAAGTAGATACCTCTTAGTTCCTACCATGTGGGAGTGGAAGTCCACATTCTCCACCCAGCCTTCCCTGATTCCCTGGGTAGGGTTCTTGAGACCCTCTCATCAGTATTGAAAAGAGGGCTTCACAGATACCAGTGAGTGTGGGCAAGGAGTCAACATTTATTGATTAGCAAAAGAGTAAGGCAGAACTCCAGGGAGACCTTTCTGGGCATTAGAGACACTCTCCAAGGTGCTGGAGCTTATGCTTAATATGTTTTAGGAATGGGTATTTTACAAAACTTTCTCATGAATATGAAAATTAATTTATAGAACATATATTTGCAGTATAACATACTGTAGTCCAAGCAGTTTGAAAAAAAAAAAGTGTGTCTTAACTATCCAGGATTACTTTTTAGATATAGTAGTCCATTAATAAATTAAGATTCCTGCTAGGTAACTTCTTTATTTAAACTGTTAAATAATTTAACAGTGATTGTTTAATGCATTTTTTTATCAAATAATATATATTTAAAATGTGTATGTGGATGGGAAACTCATCTTCCCATCAGTCTCTGGTGTTAGGTTCTTTCTAGTGATTTCGTGGGAACTATAACATTTAGTTATTGATAATGATTCCAACTCATGCATTTTGTTTCCCATAGAGTAAGAATAAAGCCCAAGTAAAATTGACTCCTTTTAAACATCCAAACTAAAATTTCAAAATAGCATTCATGTACTTCTCACTGAGAATAAATCCGTAGCAACTGAAATCATGCTTAAGTTCAGTATGTAGTAAGTACAACAGAAATATACTATCTTATTAAACCATTGGCTAGGAAACATGAAAGACATTTCTTTCTTTATGATATATTTACATTTTCTTTGAAGTTAATTATCTTGGCCAAAATCCTCTGACTTCTCCAGTAAGTTTAAATACCAGGTGTTTATTTGACCTTATTGTATTTATTACATTTTAGCTTTCAGCACTCACAGATTTTAAAATTGATTTTATACCTTGTTCATAATTCTGGTACCATCCCATTGCCATACTCTTAGTCTGCCTATCCATCTTTAAGACCTTTCAGAATTTCAGAATTTCTCAATATGCAAGTGAAAAATCAAGATGTATAAGTGCACAATGTCCTATCATTACAAACTATCATTGACAGTTTGGAACTGAAATTGAGGTCAAGAGTGAGGGTAAAAAATGGACATCAGCTTCTTCAATCATAACAAGTCAGAGAAGATGATGGATATAGCAGCTGGAGAGCAGTAATCATGTTTTTTTTTTTTGTATCTGCTGCTGCTGTTCAGTTTTTCCTGCTGTTTGGTATATTTCATGTTAGCTGGGGTATACAAATTAGGAGTAAGACAATTCCTCTGCACTGCTGAGGACACACTAAAGTGCTCCAGTTAGTTGAATGTTTGACAGTACTTTTCATAATTCATTGAAATCAGCATCAATATTTTCTAAAGTATGACATGTTTTGAATAAAGAACAGAACTTTTTATTGGCATCTAATTTTTTTTAGGAGCCACGTATATCTTTCTTTAAATTTGTAGAGTAATAATGTAAATGGAATACTCTGGGGCCTAATAGATTTGATGCAAAAAATAGTTGTACTAGTATTTATGTCTGAAAAGTAGACACACATCTTATACATAATAACCACAAAATCTCTCTTTCATGCATTAAGTGATAGAAATCATAAGACTATTCTGTGCTGAACGAGCAGGTGCTATATGTAATTTGATATTGCTTGCCAATAATCCTTTTTAGAATTGCTGTGAGGTGCAAATTATCTTGTGTTAAACATGAACTCCATATATTATACAAGGTTTAAACAAATAAAATTTAACAATTACAGCTTTGATACTTTTAAAATAGTTGTTATTCTGATTGAAGATTTCCAATAAATTGGTCTCTGTTGCAACTGCCACTCTTTCTTTTCTTGGTTGTTTGCCTATTGAAGTTTTACGTTAGAGAATTCCTTTAGAATGTTTATTTCCAGTGGAGTTTTAAATGATAAACCCTACTTAACTTTACTGTACAGCCCCATAAGAGTCACCCAGTAGTAATGATGGGCAGCTGGAATAACCATAGTCTTCCTCATTTAGGTCTGTACTCCAATTTAACTTTCTACTTAACTTCTAATTCCTCTAAAGTATATGTTGGTTGGGGTTGCAGGTAGTATGAATCAATGAGTAATCCTCCACCTCCCTTTTCATGATATAAGACTGCCCTCTGTCTCCCTTCCCCCTAACAAGAGAAAGACTATGCTCAGCATCTAGGAGCAGTCAGACCCCTGCTCCATTGCCATTTTCCATAATCTCTGGGGCCTCGTGCTCTCAGGCCATCACCTCCTGGCACCTATACTTGGGATTTGGCAACTTTCTGGAATCAAGTTTTTTAATACTAAGCATGAAATATTATTATTAGTTTATCATATCTAAAAGCTTTGAAATGGCTCATTAGGGTAGAAGCATTTCTATATTTATGACTTTAATATCAACTGATAATTGAATAAAAGATGAATAACACATAAATCCACGGAATTTATGGATTTTATATCTCATGATTTCACATACTTTACAGCATTACTTCTTTTAGGTTTTAAAGCTATCTGGATAGTTACTTTACCAAGTTTCTAAATAATTGTCTGAATGAGGAAAAAACTATTTTTGCCAATCTTTCTACTTCTCAATTTTACCAGTTATCCTAACATGTCTGTGGTTAATTATTTTTGCTAGAGCAGCCATAACAAAATATTACAGATTGGATAGCTTAAAAACAACACACATTTTTTTTAATTCTGTGAGCTAGAAGTCTTGAGCTCAAGGCAGCGGCAGAATTGACTTCTTCTGAGGCCTCTCCCTGGCTTTTAGAAAATTGTCTCTCTTTGTGACTTCACATGGTTTTACCTCTGTGTCTTTGCATGACCTAATCTCTTCTCACAAGAGATTAGGGCCTCCCTTTAACTTAATTACTCCTTAAATACCCTATCTTCAAATGCAGGCATATTCTGAGTTACAAGGGCCTAGCATTTCAACAGATAAGTTTTTGGTGGAGCACATTTCCACACATAACAAGGGCACTTTACCATAGTTTACTTTGTCAAAATGTGTAAAGTATGTGTTCCATTGAATGTTTGATTATGTGGTGAGCAGCCACCAGAGAACCTTAGACAGCTGCTTGAGGCTTTTTGTTTGGTTTAAGGCATAACTAGTCTTGATCTCCTAATTAGGAACCTCACTCTTTCACACTTTAGTGTTGCAAACTGTTACAACTGTTGATAGTTTTACAGATTTTTCAATGTTTAGGTATACTAGATACACATATTTTGGGTTTTGATCTATAAAATTCTGCCCGATTTCCAGTGTACTTAGTCATAGCTTTGTGACCTTATTGCTACCTCCCTTCTTGTTTTATTCTTTGGAATAGTAGATGAGATTCTACAGAGATTAGTAAAATATCTAGAACTTAGTATATTTTTGCCAAATGGGAAAATAAAGCATATCAAGGAATTTCTGAAGTCTTATGACTTGAAGATTTTTTTCTGTAAAAATTCCATTTTATTTTGAGAATTCTATTGAGAATTCTCAGCAATTTAGTCACCTGTCAAAGTAGGGGCTAGCATAGAAGTGCTGGGCTCTGACTCTACTTTTCCCACCGTGGTTATTAGTGGTTATTAGAGATTATTAGAGATTATTAGAGATTATTAGAGATTAGTGCAGCCTGATCTATAGGTGCACCTTTGGCAGTCCTGTCACAAGGTACATAGCCCTCTTTAGCCCTGACTGAGTCCTGTAATGGGTTAACATTTTAGCGACTGAGCATTCAGATTGATTCGATCCTGCCATGATTCTAATGAGTTCCCCCCCCCTTATCTTCCCTATCAGTAGTACTTAAATGTCACTTAATGACCATGGAGATAATTTTTTTCTTTAAGATTTATTTATTTATGCATACAAGAACCAGGATACAGGCCAGAGGTACAGAGGGTGAGAGAAGTCACCAGAGAGAGTGGGGAACAGAACAGGCAGATCAAGTTAAATACACTGCTGAGGGGCACAGCGGGCGGGTCAGAAGAGACCTGCTGTGCCATGTGGGTCAGCTTCCAGGCTGGGAATCAAACTTGTGTTGCAGTGGCTGCCGACAGCTTCATAGCATTGTTCTTTAACCTGTTTTGTCACCAGCAAGGGCCCTGGAGATCATTCTTTTGTCTTACAATTCTTTCTTACATCTTATGTGTATCTTAAACTTGGGACTATTTCAAAGCTTTCTGTATCTATAAAGAGACAACTGAATACTTATATTAAATGAACATTCTAATTTTCAAATATACAAGTACGATTTTTAAAAAATGTATTACAATGCAAACAAGAGAGTTTAATATTATTGTGACACATGCATTAATGTCTACCTGTTTTAAAGCTTCAAAATAATTAAAAGTACTTTCTTTTCAAAGTTGGCCAGGGATACTTTGCCCCGATCCTTTTAAAAGGAAATATGTGACCTATGACCTCGATGGAAATGTTGAAAAGTATCACATAGAATTCTTGGGTGATCCCCATTCACGATCCTGGATAAGTGCAACATTTGTTGAATATTACAGTATCACATTAAAGGTATGTATAGTAACATCACAATTTTATTCTTCTTGCATTTTTTAAAAATTATGAGCACTTTTTCACCAACCCTACGAAGATATGATTAATTTTATATTAACAAGGTAGTATGTAATATTTATGCTAGCTATTCCTGTTGTTGTGCTTTTTTTAACCATTCCTTATGCCCCTTTGACCCTTCCAACCCTTTTTAATATCAGAAGTTTCAATTTGCTAGTGTCAGTTAGAATCATTTACTTATGTGAATGTCAGATGTTGTCTTAGTCATTCTGACCTGCCTATTACATGCAATTTCCCAAATTCCTTCCATTTTGCTATAAATGGCAACATTTTATCATTCTTTATGACTGAATAGTGTTTCATTATGTGTACATAGCCACATCTTCTTGATCTAATCCTTGGTCACTGGGCATGAAGTTTATTTCCACATCCTAGAAATTGTAAATCATGCCATAGTAATTAAACAGTGTAGGGTACATAAATTTTTGAGTTGATGGTTTCATATTCTTCAGACAAATACTCAAGAATGGGATTTCTGAGTCTCATGGTATTTCCATTTTTAGCTTTTTTTAAAAGATAAATCCTGATCACAGTCCAAAGTAGATGCACCAGATTGCATTCCCATCAATAGTGTATAATAAGACTCTTCTTTCTCTGCATCCTTTCCAGCCCTTGTTGAGGTCTTTTTAATATATGCAGCTCTCAGAAGTGTAAGATGATATCTCATTGTAGTTTCAGCCTGTATCTCTCTTATTAAACGTGATGATGAGCACCTTCTATTGTTCTTCTGGATATCTTCTTTGATAAGCTGCCTATTTTGGTCTACTGCCCATTTATTAATTGGATTATTCATTTTTTTTTAACTCTTACATTTAGTGTTTTGTGTATCTTGTCACCGTGGGAAGTGTGAATATTTTTCCCCATTCAGTACCTTGTCTTTTTTGTCACTGTAGAAGCTTTTGAATTTGAAGTCATCCCAACTATACATTTTGCCTTTATTTCCTTTGCCATAGAGGTCAAGTGATCTCCAAAAACATCCTTACTGATTTTACAAAATGTATTGTCAATGTTGTCTTCTACATAGTTACATTGCAGGTCTTATAACTACGTCTCCTATTTATTTAAAGTTACCTTTATACATGGAGTTAAGGGAGTATTCTATTTTCATCTTTTACATGTTTCCATCCAATTTACCCAGCACTATTTGGAAAGCAACTTTCCTTTCCCTGCTGTTGGGTTCTGCCTCCTTTATCATGAATTGTGTTGATGTTTACTTGGATAAAATAAATATGGATTTATTTTTGGCATTTTTATTTATTCTATTGATCCCTGTTATCTTTTTATTCCACTATCACATTGTTTTAATTACTGTTGCTTTATGGCATAAAGTCAGGTAATGGAGAACCTCCATTTCTTTTCAGAATACCTTAGCTATTTGATACCTTTTATGACTCCTTATACATTTTAATATTTTATATTCAGTATTTGAAGGACACTAGTATTTTGATGGGAATACATTAGATTTTTATATAGCTTTTGGTAGTATAGTCATCTTGACTATATTGATTCACCCTGTCCATGAGCATGGGATATCTTTCCATCTCCTATGGCATCATCTAAATAATTATGTCTTGTGGTTTTTATTGTTAAGTCTTTTACCTCCTTGGTTTGATTATTCCTAGTTATTTGATTCATTTTTTAAAAGATTTAGTTATTTGTGCATACAGAACTGGGATACAAGCCAGAGGTGGAGGGGTGGTGAGAGGCTTCACCAGAGACAGAGTGGGGAGCAGAACAAGAAGATCGACAAAAGTACGCTGCTTAGGGGAGCAGCAGGCGGGTCAGGAGATGTCTGCCATACCATGTGGATCACCTCCAGGGCAGGGTGGGGATCAAACTCATGCTGAAGTGGCTTTAGCTTCTTAGTGCTGTGCTTTAACCTGCTGCACCACCAGGGAGGGCCAGTATTTGATTTATTTTGAAGCAGTTGTTAATTGAAGGATTTTCTTAATTTCTTTTTCTTCTCATTTGTTGTTTGTATCTAAAAATGCAAGGATTTTATATGCTGATTCTTGTAACCTGCCACTTTTATTGTTTCTAATAGCTTCTTGGTGTGGAGTCTTTAAGATTTACATACACACACACACACACACACACACAAATCTCAGCAATTATTTCTTTTAAGTAATATTACTATGCCTTTCTCTTCTTATAGACCACCCATGATAGAGTTGTTATTTCTCTTTAGGTTATTCAAAAACCTCCTTACACTGTTTTCATTTTCTGAAATTATATTTTCTCTTTTTTTCTATTTGTATATTCTCTACCTCTGTACTTTGAAGCTCACTGATTTTTTTTCATTAACTTGGCAAGCATGGTTATCTTGAACTCCTCATCAGACATCCTCCATAGTTGTACTGGATTAAGGCTTATTTTTAGGTTTCTATTCCTCCAGAAATTGTGATGTTTTGCTTTCTCTTCATTTTTAGTTTCTATGGATTGTGACAGGGAGTTGCCTTTTCTTATCGTGATAAATTGGCATATATCCCTCCTAAGTTTTTTGCCCAGCTTGTTTAAGTGTTTTTGTACCAATTAAAATGACCAGGGTGCTGATGCCAGCAAGGCGTAATAGATAGGAAGGACAGCTGACATTAACAGCTGGTTCATGTGCTCAGCACACAGTAGAAAATCAAATACTGAACACCAAGAATTTAAAGAATGGGAAAAATGTAATATCTGGAAGGTACCAAGCAGTATTGTTGGAGGTAATCCTAAAATATGCTACCATAACCAAGGGGCTATTGGTTTCTTATAGGGAGGCTTCCATTGCAGAGAAGCAGGGAAGCTATAGGAATTATTCAATGAGGATGTTGGTTATGGAATTTGTTGTGCATTTTTAGACACACAGGAGCCATAACCAATTTGACCAAATAGCCTGGATTTCATCATCTGTTTAGAGTTTTACTGATTTCCTGAAGAACAGATTAGTCCTTATCTCACAGCTGTGCATTCTTTGGTATGCAGTCAGAAAGCTATGTTAAAGTGTATCCAGAGGGTTAACAGTGGTCTGAGGCTTTGATGGGGTGTATATATTGACCCAGGATGTGGTGGGTTAGTGTTGGGCTCAGTTTCACTCAGATACTATATGGTTGTATTCAGTGAGTATCAAGGTTTCAAAATTCCTGTAGGGCTGTGCCTACCCAAGTGTTGTGGTTAGGATCATAGTGTAATCCCTCCCCTTATGTCAAACCCTTGGCCAAAATGTCTTATATAGTCTCATGACACCCTCAACTCTAGGCAATGGCTGAGCAACTGATGCAGTTTTGAATGAGTACAATAGTTGAGATGAAATCACAAGCCGTTGATTATGTACTTTGCTTTTTGAATATTTAGTCTTATTCTGGAGTTCTTGCTCCTGTAATTAAGATCCAGGTGTTCAACTCTGATTAGTGTAAGCATTTATTTGTCTCTCATAAGGTAGGTGTCTCACATATCATAGCCATTGGATGTAAATAATAGTATTGTCTGTCAGGAGACACAGGTGGTCTTTTGGTCTCTCCCACAGGTTCAGGCCCCAACTGTGCTAGTATAGGAGTCTCACACTCAAACATTCTATATCCTTACTACAGTAGTTCTTCATGGTGCACCCTTTGTGCAGGTCAGTTCTACATGTCTTTCTCCAGTGTAGTGTGCCCAGATTTTTTAAGTGCCAGTGTTTATGTGTCCTTGAGTTAGTAGCATGGCAGCTCCATATAACAGCCACCCCTCTCTCTGGTGGATTGTGCTGCCCCAGTATTGCTCTAAATACAGTTTAATCACAGTTTTTCCTGCCACATTCTGCTCATCATTCTCCTGATGAGTGTAGTGGTCAAGCTTTCTCCTGGTGTATGCAGTGGTCAAGATTGTTGATTTGTTTTGGTTGTGAAGGTGAGTCTAGCGTCTTTACTCTGCCACTATCTTGCCAAATATTTGTTTTTAAATCAGTTTTAAAATGAAGTATAGATGTAAGATTAGCTGTGGGATAGTTTTAAAATTTATTTTTCTAAAGGCAACACAGTATTAACAATTTCAAGATTATCATATGACAATTTTTAATTCTCTTGAGATGACTAAATTGTAGCCCTCACTCACAGGAAAAATTAATTATGAATTCAACCATTTCGGATTTCAAACAGAATATTCATTACACAGTCTTTTTCAGTTTGCTTTACTCTTAAACTTTAAATCACACACTACAGTTGATCAATAGCCTAGACTCCTAGGCTGATGAGACTAAGTGAACTAGATGATCCATACCACTTTCCAAAATGGCTTCATCAATTCACATTCCTGCCAGTCTTGTTTAAGGGTTCCTCTTTCTCCAGATCCTTGTTAATATCTGTTGTTACTAGTCTTTGTTAAACCATCCTCACAAGTGTTAGATGATATCATTGTGATTTTGATTTGCATTTCCTTAATAAGAAGTGATGATGAACATTTTTCATATATCTAACCAAATAGTAATCAGTGTCATTGAATACAAGCTTAAGGTCATTCTTGTCATTCAACATTGTGCACTATTTATAGATACTGCTCATAAAGCTGATGTCTGATTTGAACTTAATATTTATAGTATGCTTATTTCATTGGTTGTATGGACTCATTATAATATTTTTGGACATAAATAATGTACCCAACTAATATTGCTTGGTCTATAATTTTCTAGTTCTTTTAATTGCCAAGAAAACGCAGGTAGTTCACCCCCGATGCTATGATGTGCCTATAGTCTAGATGTTGTCCATTATGTGAATGGATTTGTTTTTGTTGTGTATTTTAGTAGTCAACCTACCACTATATGTAAGATATTCCTGTAGCTATGCAACTATGTCTTGGAGTACCAGATATCATTTGGATATTTACCCCTTGCATTATGGAGTCAGCTATATTTTCTAGGGGAAATGAAAAGGCAACAATATTGTATTGCTAAACTTGAGTTCTACAGCTACAACTAGATAATTCCA